CCTCCCCCAGAAAGAACCAAAATTTTAAATAATTACAACTCATATAAAATGTGATGTAAGGATCCGATTGTCTTCAAATTTCACACATCAGAATATTTTTATTAACACAAGATCTGCCATGAAGAGGGAATATATCGGTCCACTTCTTATGGTACCTCCCCCACAAAGGGTCAAAATTTTGAATATCAATGAAGCTAATAAAACGTAAAATTAATATCCGATTCTATTTAGAATTGGCACATCTCAATATTACCACCAACACAAGATCTGTTGTAAAGATGATGGAGATCGGATAATTTCTTCTGGTACCTTCCCCAAAAGGGCTCAAAATTTTGAATAGTCAAAACGATTTAAAAATCCGCGAAAAGCACTCGGTTCTCTTCAAATTACACACATCAAAATATTTTTATTAACCCAAGGTCTTGTCTGGGGTCAAACGGGATATATCCACCACACACATTTTTGCTAACGCAAGATATGCTGTGAAGATGATACATATCTGCCAACCCCTTCTGGCCTCACCTCACCCACAAAGCGTCACAATATTCAATGCTTATATATATCATACCTTGAAAATATTTCCCTTAACCAGAAATCTGATGCGAATATATAATATGTCGGAATTTATGATATCGCATAAAAGTGAATATAAATGTTCGATTTTTTTTCAAATTTTGCAAATACCAATATAAAATAAAAAATCTGTATTAGATGAAGTATTAACAAATTCGGTCCGCTATATCGCTATACCTCATACATGTTTCCACATTTTCCAAAAAAAATTGCACATATCTCATATCTCCAAGTACAGGATGTGGTCGATACAGTCCAAATCTGTTATGTCGCAATATTTATATCAGTCTTAGGTCAGATACGAATTGGTCAATATTGGCCAAGTGCTTCGAAACCACCCCCATAAAGGGTCAACAGTTTGAATAATCATAACTCAAGACTGGAGGTGTACATCTGTCGGCAAAACCGACTGATACTATTTTACATTTTTTATTTTTTCTATTTTTTTTTAAATTCTTCTTCTTTCAAAACATTGTCAATAATCCCGAACATGTTACGGCCACGCCTTACATTTGTTTTCCTTTGACACATATAAATATATTTGGTTTTTTTTTTGTGTAATTTTTGGCCTCAAGCCCAAACGACAAATGTGGTTCCCACGAAATTAAGAATAAGAAAGACCCAAAATAACAATAACAATAAAATTAAAAATAACAACAATAAAGTAGAAAATTACAACAACAATAATAAGAAGAAAAAAGATTAAGTTGTCCCAAATAGCAACACCTGCAGAATTTGCAAAAAAAGAGCAACAAAAAAAAGACATCAAAAGACAATATTTATTTATAATAAAAACAAGTAAATTGACAAGCTACCTACCCCCCTCTCCCCTCAACCTCATCTAGCTACCCGGCTAACCTAGATGTTGGCTGGCTGCAGACGATCGTAGTAAGCAAAAAAAAATCAAAATTTTGTAACACATGTTTTTATTGTTGTTGTTTGAAAATAGATTTGGTTAAACATTTGGTCAAACACTTGCAAAGTTTAGTTTTTTTTTTTTTTTTTTTTTTTTTGAAAATAAAAATATTTCTAAAATTAAAACAGAATTAGAAATAGAAATCCCACAAGTTTGGGAAGCACCTAAAAAAATTATCTTGGGGAAATTCAAGGTCATTCTTATCTATTTAGTCCACTGTGCCTCCTCTTAAAGAAAATAAGTTCAGGCCTTCTTTAAAGAAAACTATTTCAGGCTGAACACAGATTTCCTTGAAGAACGACCCTTTTCGCCATAGATGAATTTATTTTTAAAAAATTATGTTGTTTTATAAAAACAACAATAATGGACGATTTTTGCAACAACAAAAAATTATAATTTTTTTTCCAATTTTAGTTATTTCACTTTTTTATACCTTACACCACATAGTGGCAAGGGTATTATGGCTTTGTGCATTTGTTTGTGGCATGGAGAAGAAAGCGATATAGACCCATAGTTACTTTGAGGATCTTCATAAAATCATTTTCTGAGTCGATTTATGCATTCCAGTCCATATATCCGTCCGTCCGTCTGCCCAGGTATTTTTAGAGAACAAAATGTAGGTCGAATTTATTATCGGATTGAGATAAAATTTTGGAAACAATATTTGTTTGGCCCAAGACTCAACCCTATTGAAATTGGTGAGAATCGGTACAAATTTAGATATAGCTGTCATATATACATATCTTCAACCGATTTCGGGTTATTTGTGCACCAAATGGCCAGTATCAGTCCAAATAACTCTAAATTTTGGTAATTCCGACGGATTTAATCCTAGAAGCAAGTACATTAAATTTGGTGAAAATCGGTTCCGATATAGCTAAAGCTCCCACATATACGTTTTATCCGATATGGGGTTTTAAGTCCCTCAAATGCGTAATATGCACTCCACAAGAATAATATTTGGTACCAGATATCAGATATAGTTCAGAATTACCACTGTCAAATTTTATCGAGGTCGGACCAAATTTGGATATAGCTGCCATATGCATATGCCTTCAACCGATTTCGGGTTATTTGTGCACCAAATGGCCAGTATCAGTCCAAATGACCTAAATTTTAATAATTCCGACGGATTTGATCCTAGAAACAAGTACATAAAATTTGGTGAAAATCGGTTCAGATATAGCTATAGCTCCCATGTATATATGTTTCATCCGATTTAAGGGTATTAAGTTCCTCATATGCGTAATATACACTCCACAAGAATAATATTTGCTACCAGATATCAGATATAGTTCAGAATTACCTCTGTCAAATTTTATCGAGGTCGGACCAAATTTGGATATAGCTGCCATATATATCTTCAACCGATTTCGGGGTAGTTGTTTCACCAAATGGCCAGTATCAGTCCAAATGACCTAAATTTCGGTAATTCTGACGGATTTAATCCTAGAGGCAAGTACATCAAATTTAGTGAAAATCGGTTCAGATATAGCTATAGCTCCCATGTATATGTTTCATCCGATTTGAGGTTATAAGTCCCTCATATGCGTAATATGCACTCCACAACAATGATCTTTGGTATCAGATAACTTATGGAGCTCAAAAATATCTCAGTCAAATTTTATGGAGATCGGATCAGATTTGGATATAGCTCCCATATATATTATTTCCGATATCAGGTTTATTATGCACCAAATCAGGTAAAATTAGTCCAAATGACCTGAATTTTGGCACATCCGACCAAATTGTGTCTAGAAGCAAGTACATCAAATTTGGTAAAAATCGGTTTAGATATAGCTATAGCTCCCATATATATGTTTCATCCGATTTGGGGGTATTAAATATATATATTAAATATATATATTAAATGTATATATCAGATATAGCCCAGAATTACCTCTGTCATATTTTATCGAGGTCGGACCAAATTTGGATATAGCTGCCATATGCATATGTCTTCAACCGATATTGCGCACCAAATGGCCGATATCAGTCCAAATGACCTAAATTTTGGTAATTCCGACGGATTTAAACTTAGAAACAAGTACATCAAATTTGGTGAAGATCGGTTCAGATATAGCTATAGCTTGGGGTTTGGGGTTTTAAGTCCCCCACATGAGTAATATGCACTCCAGAACAAAGATATTTAATGTCGGATATCAGATACAACTCGAAAATCGAGCATTTAAATGATAAATGTTGTGCCTCCTACCATCGCTCGTTACCGTGATACTAGCGTAGCGTAGCCTGACATCAAGGAAGTGAACGGAAGAAAACAGCAACATCAGCAGAAGCAGAAATGGTTCGAAAAGTAAAGAAGCGACTTGATCGAAACCCAAACCCAAACCAGAAAAATGGCTCGTGAGCTGAAAATATCGCATCGCAATATTCCATTCGGCAAATATTGAAAAATGAGCTCGGGGTAAAGCCATTGAAATTCCAAAAAATGCAAGAACTTACACCGCAACAAAAAGAAAATAGACTCAAAAGAGCTAAAGAGTTGCTTCGCTTGGCCGAAAATGGTGAACTGCCGAATTTGGTTTTCTCCGCTCCGATGAGAAAACATTCGTTGATCGTGTTTAATTGCCAAAGAAGTCTGAAAAGGCTGAAAATGTGCACCTTCTGTTGACCACCAGAACTCAAGCGCTGGCCATGGTGATGGTGTGGGCCGCCATAACAGCCGTTGGTCGCTCTCCGCTCGTATTAATCGACCGTGGCATCAGAATAAATGCCGAATATTATCGTGAAAATATTGTGGAGGGTTCACGCAAACATTTTGGCCGCAGACCTTGGACATTGCAACAGGACTCAGGACCATCGCGCTCAGCACACGCCACCCAAGAATGGTTACAAAATGAGGTTCCTCGCTTCATTTCCAGCGCACAATGGTCAGCAAAATCTCCGGATACCAATCTGTTGGACTGTTGCGTCTAGAGTATTTTGGAAAGCAAGGTTGGCACTAAAAAATACCAAAGTGTCGATCACCTCAAGCAAACGCTTCGCCGAGAATGGGCCAAAATACCGCAGAGCAACATTTGGGCAGCGTGTGACGGTTTCATTTTGGCCGTTTGAAGGCCATAATTCGTGCCAAAGGTGACCAATTCGAACAAATCTAAATTTATTCTAAAATTTGATGTTATTTCCGACATTTTCTGCTTTCATTCAAAGAAATTAAAAAAAATGTAAAAATTATGGTGTTTGACTTTGCTGCAGTTTACTGTAGATCCAGAAATTCCACAAGTCTTGGAAAACTTAAAAAAAATCCTTTGGTAAATTCACGGTCATTCGATGGTCTCCCATCAACCTAATCCATTTTGCCCTCTTCTCAAAGAAGATAATATTTGTCTCTCCTGAAGAAAATCAGCCCTGACTTAAAAAAAATTTCTGGAGGATATACCTCTCTTCAGCCAGACTGAATAGAAGAATATCTTTAAGAAAAATACCCATTCAATCATTTGTTGTTGATTCAAATTTTTTGTCTGATTTTTTTTTTTTCATTTTTACTCACCTCTAAAATTTGCTGATCTAAATCCGATGCCACCGTGGCTGGCTGAACTCGACTGAAATCCAAAGTACCCGGTGTTATGTGTAATCTTTCGTTTGTACCAGAATCGCGGGAAAGATCTGAAAAAAAAAAGAAAATATTAAAATATTGGTTATTTTTATTACGAGAGAGAAGGAGAGGGGAAGAGAGAGAGAGAGAGAGCACGGAAGAGAGAAAATACCAAGTACCGTAACAAAGAATTTCTGAAAAAAAGTGATGTGATTTTAATGAATTAAAATAGACAAGAAACGAGCAGATGAACTGACAAAGCCAATCAAATGAAAATTTATTTATGAGAATGACTTGAAAAATTGATGGGGGGATGAAAGATGGAGGCAGCAGGAGATGCCAAGACTATTTTTGCAAAATTTGTATTTTTCCGATTTTTTTTTCCCTCATAATATAAACACATCGCTGAAAATAGCATCAAATCGGCGAAAAGGAAATCATAAACAAACCCGAAAATGTTCAATTTTAAACATGAATCGCAATTTTTAAAAATAAGACTGCAAGTCGTTTTGAGGTTTTTGTTTTTTTGATTATTTGCAAAAATACGGTATACGTTGTAAACAATTTCCGAATGAAAATAATAATGAATGAAATTATTTTTTTTATTATTTTCAAGGCACAGTGATTTTGAAATTAAAAAAAAAAAACAAAAAAATAAATAAAATAAAAATGTTTGACAATTAAATATAAAAAACACAAATTGGAAGAATTGGAATATGGGGAAAAATGTAAAAAAAAGAAATTCGCACCGAAAAAAGGAAATAGTATATTTTGATAAATTACATATTCACATCAGATTTCTGGTTAAGAGATATATTTAGATATAGAATGTGGTAAAGAATCGCTGACGTGTTTCGCAAGTTATGGCAGATACAAGTATTGAAAATTGATTTCCGCTAAGATAAATTTAAATTTAATTAGCAAAGACACAAACCATGGTAATTTTTTCTCCGGCTCACAAAGGGTTAATAAATAGAGAGAGAGAGAAAGAGAGGAGAGGAGAGTAGTAAACCAGCGAAAAACCAGTAAAGAAAGTCCTAAAGCCGGGCGGGGCCGATTTTATGATACCCTACACCACTTTGCTAAATTAGCAAAGCTCCACTTAATAATTAAAAGTTTTTATGGGAGAATTCAATCCTACACGCTTTGATTATAATTATAATTTAAGGTTCAAAGAACTAAATATGCCGAAGCATTTGTATCTTTTAAATTCGGACTTGTATTGCCCATTTGGTGCGAAATTAATTTGAAATCGGATAAAAATATATATGGGAACTATATCCAAATCTGAACCGATCTCGATAAAATTTGTCAAAGATATTTCTGAGCTGTATTTGATATATTTCCCTGAATATCGTTGTTACGGAGTGCATATTACGGCTGTGGGTAACAAATACAATAAATCGGATGAACAATATATATGGGAGCTATAACTATATCTGAACCGATCTTCACCAAATTTTGCATACTACCTTCTAGACTAAATTCGGTCGTATGTGCCAAATTCCATCCCATTTGGACAAATATTAGACTTTTGGTGCACAATAAATGGTAAATCGGACGAAGTTATATATGGGAGCTATATCCAAATCTGAACCGATCTCGATAAAATTTAGCAAAGATATTTCTGAGCTGCATTTGATACACTTCCCCAAATATTGTTGTTACAGAGTGCATATTACGGCTGCGGAGGACAAAAATAACAAATCGGATGAACAATATACATGGGAGCTATAGCTATATCTGAACCGATTTCGATAAAATTTGACATACTTATTTTCAGGACTAATTTGGTTGTATGCGCAAAATTCCATACTAATCGGGCTGATATTACATGTTTGGTGCACAATAAAAGGCAAATCGGACGAAGATATATATGGGAGCTATATCTAAATTTTTACCGATTACCTCCAATTTTAATAGGGTTCGTCCTTGGGCCAAACAAATGTTGTTTGCAAAAGTTCATCTCAATCGGATAATAAAGTGATTCTATGCAGATCATCAAAAGGAACTATGGGTCTATCTCGTTTCCTTTTGCCTGTTACAAACAAATGCACAAAGACATAATACCCTGACCACCTTGTGGTGTAGGGTATAATTAAAGGTAAATTAAGTTATATTAATTTTGATCAAATTTCAAAACTTTCCGTACAAATTTCAAATTTACAATGAAATCGCTAAAAAAAGTTTAAAACCCTTAACTCTACATTAAAATCCAGAATAAAATATTTAAAAATGAAGTGGTGTCGAGCCTTATAGTCAAAAAAAAATTTCAGATTTGTGCCCAGCCTCGACACCGCTTTATTCTAAGTTTCTGTTTTTAATTTCCCTAAAATTAAGCGATAATTCTTCAGAAAATTAAAAAAAATTCCTAAGTCTGAAATTATTTTAAATATTTTATTCTGGATTTAAATATAGAGTTAAGGGTTTCAAACTTTGTCCGCGTACATTTTAATTATGTTTTTATTTGGCGATTTCTTTGTAAATTTGAAATTTGTACGGAAAGTTTTGAAATTTGATCAAAACTAATATAACTTAATTTACCTTTAATTTTTCTCTGGTTTACTACTCTCTCTCTCTCTCTATCTCTCTCTCTCTCTTTATTAACCCTTTGTGAACCGGAGAAAAAATCACAATGGTTTGTGTCTCTGCTAATTAAATTTAAATTTATCTTGACGGACATTGAAAATTGTGACTTTGTGAGTGAGGTACCAGAAGGGGTTCGCTACAGATCTTGTGTTAGAAAAAATGTTTGTGTGTGTGAAATTTGAAGAGAATAGGAAGCATAATTTGCCTTCTTTGAGCGTTTTGTTTTTCAAAATCTTAAACTGCATGTGGGGGAGGTACCAGAAGAAATGGTCCGATCTCTACCATCAAGATCTGTCACAAATCTTGTGTTAATGGAAATATTGAGATTTGCCAAGTCTGAATGAAATCAGGTGTTAATTTTATGAACTTCATGAACTTCATGAATATTCAAAATTTTGACCCTTTTGTGGGGGAGGTACCAGAAGAAGTGCTCCGATATATCCCATCTTCACAGCCGATCTTGTGTTAGTAAAAATAATGGGATGTTTGAAATTTGAAGTGCAACGGATGCTTATTTCGGATTTAATGATCGTTTTGGTTTTTCGAAATCTTGAACCCTTTATGGGGGAGGTACCAGAAGAAATGACCCGATCCCTACCATTTTCATAACAGATCTTGTGTTAATGGAAATATTGAGATGTGCCAAGTCTGAGTGGAATCAGGTGTTAATTTCGTGTTTTATGAACTTCATGAATATTCAAAATTTTGACCCTTTGTGGGGGAGGTACTAGAAGGAATGGGCCGATATATCCCATCTTTGCAGCAAATCTTGTGCTAATAGTAAAAATGGGATGTGTGAAATATGAAGAGAACCGGATGAATTTTTTCGGAGTTTATAACCGTTTTGGCTATTCAAAATGTTGACGCTTTGGTGGGGGAGATACCAGAAGGAGTGCGCCGATATATTCCATCTTCACATCAGAAGTTGGGTTAATAAAAAATATTGTGATGTGTGAAATTTGAAGAGCAACGGATGCTTATTTCGGATTTTATGATCGTCTTTGTTATTCAAATTTTTGACCCTTTGTGGGGGAGGTACCAGAAGAAATGGTCCAATCTCTATAACAGATCTTGTGTTAATGGAAATATTGAGATGTGCCAAGTCTGAATGGAATCCGATGTCAATTTCGCTTTTTCATGGATATTCAAAATATTGAGCCTTTGTGGGGGAGGTACCAGAAGAAGTGGACCCATAAATCCCATCTTCACAACGGATCTTTTGTTGGTGGAAATAATGGGATGTGTGAAATATAAGGAGAGCCGGATGCTCATTTCGGATTTTTTGAATGTTTCTGCTATTCAAAACTTTGACCCTTTGTAGGGAAGGTACCCAGAAGAAATGGTCCGATCTCTACCATATTTATAACCGTTCTTGTGTTGATAAAAATATTGAGATTTACCATGTCCGAATGGAATCGGATGTAAATTTCGCTTTTTATCAATTTCATGGATATTCAAAATTTTGACCCTTTGTGGTGAAGGTACCGGAAGTAGTGGACCGATATATTGCATCTCCACAGCAAATCTTGTGTTAGTTGAAATAATGGGATGTGCAAAATTTGAAGAGAACCGAATGCTTATTTCGAATTTTATGATCCTTTTTATACCCTCCACCATAGTATGGAGGATATAATATGTTTGTCATTCCGTTTGTAACACCTCGAAATGTACATTTTAGATCAGCATAAAATTCTATGTCGATTTAGCTATGTCCGTCCGCCTATTCGTCTGTCCTTCTGTGGAAATCACTCTAGCTTCCAAACAAAATGAAGTAAGTTGATAAAAATTTGCTAAAATGTATATTATGTCTGCAGGACTTTTGGTATTGAAAATGGGACATGTAGGTCCACGTTTTGATATGGCACCCATATAAAGGTACCTCCCGATATTCGGTATTTTGATGATTTTAGCGACATTGTTCACCGGAAATGTTTCAAATTTGGTATTTGAAGTTCGTAATGGATACTATAGCCTACGACTGAAAATTGTCTGTGCAGGTCCATGTCTTCGTATAGCCCACTTATAACGGTACCTCCCGATATTTGGTATTTTGATGATTTTAGCTATATTTTTCACCGGAATTGTCTCATATATGGTATTCGAAGTTCGTAATGGATGCTACAGCCTATGACATAAAATTGTCTGTGCATGTCCACGACTTCGTATAGCCCACATACAACGGTGCCTTCCGATATTTGGTATTTTGATGATTTTAGCTACATTATTCACCGAATTTCTTTTCAAGTTTCGCATTTCAATATTGTACTGGCAAAATTTGGGTATTCAGGTCCACGTCGTCGTCTAGACTCTAATATAATGGCTACATTCGGTATTTATAGGATTATAACAGAATTTTTAACGGATTTTATTTTTTTGAAAATTGCCAAATACGTTCCAAATGGTGTAGGGTATTAAAAGTTCGGCCCGACCGAACTTACAGATTTTTTACTTGTTGTTTTTCCAAATTTTGACCCTTTTTGAG